GAGATTATGCAACTCCCGTTTACCGGAGGAACACTTTGTGTGCCACCAAACGTCACAACGTAACTGGGTGATTATAAAGGTGCTCTACAGGTGTCTCTGAAGGTACTTGTTGGGTTGGCGTGTTTCGAGATTAGGATTTGTCACTCCGATTGTCGGAGAGGTATCTCTGGGCCCACTCGGTAATGCACATCACTATAAGCCTTGCAAGCATTGCAACTAATGAGTTAGTTGTGGGATGATGTATTACAAAACGAGTAAAGAGACTTGCCGGTAATGAGATTGAATTGGTATTGAGATACCGGCGATCGAATCTCGGGCAAGTAACATACCGATGACAAAGGGAACAATGTGTGTTGTTATGCATTCTGACTGATAAAGATCTTCGTAGAATATGTAGGAGCCAATATGGGCATCCAGGTCCCGCTATTGGTTATTGACCAGAGAGGTGTCTCGGTCATGTCTACATAGTTCTCGAATCCGTAGGGTCCGCGCGCTTAACGTTCGTTGATGATATAATACTATATGAGTTATGTATCTTGGTGACCGAATGTTGTTCGGAGTCCGGGATGAGATCACGGACATGACGAGGAACTCCGGAATGGTCCGGAGATAAAGTTTGATATATGGGATAATAGTGTTTGGTCACCGGAAGGGTTCCGGAATTCACCGGAAGGGGTTCCAGATGTTTCCCGAAATGTTTGGGTACGAGAACACTTTATTTGGGCCAAACGGAAAGCCCACAAGGTTTTTCGAAAGCGCAAAAGGAAGTTTTGCGGAGTCCAGGGGCCAGACGCCAGGGTCCCTGGCGTCTGGGGCCAGACGCCGCGAACCCTGGCGTCTGGCCCTGGAGTCCGAGAAGGACTCTTGCCTTTCGGGTGAAACCAACTTTGTGGAGGCTTTTACTCCAAGTTTCGACCCCAAGGCTCAACATATAAATAGAGGGCTAGGGCTAGCACCCAAGACACATCAAGAAACACCAAGCCATGTGCCGGCAACCCCGTCCCCTCTAGTTTATCCTCTGTCATAGTTTTCATAGTGCTTAGGCGAAGCCCTACGGAGATTGTTCTTCACCAACACCGTCACCACGCCGTCGTGCTACCGGAACTCATCTACTACTTCGGCCCTCTTGCTGGATCGAGAAGGCGAGGACGTCACCGAGCCGAACATGTGCAGAACTCGGAGGTGCCGTGCTTTCGGTACTTGGATCGGTCGGATCGTGAAATGGTACGACTACATCAACCGCGTTGATATAATGCTTCTGTGAACGGTCTACAAGGGTATGTAGACAACACTCTCCCCTCTCGTTGCTATGCATCACCATGATCCTGCGTGTGCGTAGGAAATTTTTTTAAATTACTACGTTCCCCAAGAATAGCAACATACTAAACGATCGAGTGCTAAGCTAACGGAATGGGTCAAGTCAATCACATCATTCTCCTAATGATGTGATCATGTTAATCAAATGACAACTCATGTCTATGGCTAGGAAACATAACCATCTTTGATCAACGAGCTAGTCAAGTAGAGGCATACTAGTGACACTCTGTTTGTCTATGTATTCACACAAGTATTATGTTTCCGGTTAATACAATTCTAGCATGAGTAATAAGCATTTATCATGATATAAGGAAATAAATAATAACTTTATTATTCCCTCTAGGGCATATTTCCTTCACCCGACACCCCCGACTGGTTGGCGGTGCAGGTGGCCCCCTCAGCTGCGGCTCCCCTATGGCGGATCCATCCCGCCCCAGACGCGCTCTGGAGGCCTGCTCTGGCTGGACGGGTGCTCTCCTACCGGACTGCTGTGGCAGCCAGGCGCGCCCTTCTAGCTGCGGCACCATCCCACCCCCCTCCCTCCTGACCCTCCCTGCCTTCGAGCTCCAGGCCGACCTCTCCGGGTGTCAGCCTTGGAGGCGGCTGGTTGTGCCCGGCCGGCGGTGGCTATTTCGTGCAGTGCGCCGTTTGTGTGTTTGGCTGATTGTGAGTCCTCCTCAGCTTTCCCCTGCAAGGGCGGCTTCAGCTCGGCGGCCATTGACCTGCGCCCCTTTCCTGCGTTCATGGCCGGCCGGCGCAGCCTTGGACCCGGCGCACCTTAGAAGTTGCACTGTTTCCGGCTCCTTTCGGCTAGCTTGCTCTTCAGCGTCGCTACACCACCACCCTGCTAGTATCTTGGTTGGCCGTCCATCCCGATGCATCTTTGGCTCCGGCATGCTTCAGGAGCTGTGTCCCCTTCTGGGTCCTCGGGCACACTGGTGCCCCTGCTGCTCCGCTCCCAGTGGCCAGGATCTGCACTCCCTTCCAGATTTTGCTTGTTCGGGACTTCGGCCACCGTTGCATCCCCACCGCCTTCCACTCCGCTCAGCCACGCAACCTCGTCTTCCTTCGAAGCCCGCACGATTGCTCAGAATTTGACGAGGGCGAAATCTCTGCATCTTGTGCTGGTAGCGGCGACACCTGTGTGTGTCATCCCCTTCTTGGAGGCGCTACCATGGTCATTATATCTGTGCCCCTCTTCGAGCATCAGGGAAGACCCTAGGTCCGGTTTTCTGGAACGGACGACGACGGCATCTTGGTGTCGTTCTCCTTCGTGAAGGTGTTGTCTTGTTTTGCTCGCGACGTCCTAGGTGCTCGATTTGAAGATGGTGGTAGTTTAGTTGATGGTTGGATAGCTTCTCTAGTTGACGAGTTTAGTTGTGTTCTTCTATGTTTTGGGTCGAGCATCTCTTTTCTATTCGCTTCAGGTACTTTCACACCCCTTGCGTTTGTGTCATGTGTTATACCACCTATTGTACTCATTCAAATTTCTTTCTATCAATGAAATGATACGCAAGCTTTGCATATTCGCGAAAAAAAACAGAAATGCCCCAATGGCACGTTGCTAGGAAATTACTCCTTTTATCTATAATCATTCATACCATTTTTTAGATTGTTTGATTCATTTGGACCGTTTGTTGTGTTTGAGCTCGTATTCTAAAGTTTTAAAGCTAAAATTTTGAAATATCATTAAATTGTTTGTATCATTTTCTTTTTCGAGAATTGTTTGTATCATTGACGTCCGGATTTTTTTAAAAACTAACAAGAGTTCACATCCCAAGCCAATATGGATCGCAGTGAGAGCACGCAGGCTGAACACCCACGGCGTGGAACGGACGCGCCGCGGTGCTCTCGGACACCCCTGCGTGCATCGAGCCTCCGATTACTTCCGGAATTTGAATGATGGATGGATTTGCAAACCGTGGCGCGCAAGTGTTTCTTCTCTTCTCGCCACGCACGCGGTTCCGACTCCTCCCCGGGTCGCAGCCGCAGACAACGTGATCAGCAAGCAGAAGGCCGGCCAGGGAACTTCATGCACCAGGACCAGGCCGGCGGTGCGCCCAATTGAAGCGATCAAGTTCAGCTGCGGCGAAAGTGCCATCCGCCCCGGACCGCACGGCGTCACCAAGAAGCAGCAGGAGTCCGGCGAGCGGGTCCAAGCGATCGCACCGGCAAGCATCGCGCAGCTAGCTCACCCAGTGCCGCCGTCGAAACCAAAGGACCCCTTTGAAGCGGACAATGCGTTTCGCGCGGCCATTGCGGCGGCTCGCCAAGTCTTGGTCCGGCGGCAGCGGGAGGAGGCTCGCCAGGAGAGGGACAAGATGGTGCAGACCGTCTACTTCAACGACCCTTCCATGACTCTAGAGAATGTGCTCAAGGCCCAAGCCCTGATCGGTTCATGCTGACATTTTTCTAGTTCTTGCTAGAGCTTTAGGTGCTCAAACCCATGATCACCATCCCTCCCTGATCATGGATGTCATGGCCGGGAATTCTGTAATAGGATCTTGAGTCAGTGGCATTTTTGTTGCGAGGCAATGGATCCATTAAGCATTCCTCGATGTGAGTTGTAACCATCATATACTATATACAAATCAATGAAGTTGTGGATTCCTCCTCTGTCTTAATAACAGAGACATTCTTGTCTTTGTTAAATTGTGTTGTTGATGTTTCCATAGAAAATCAGACCAATAACGTCAGATTTATACTTGCCTATTTTGAACTCCAATAATGTAGTTCCAGAAGAGTACGTGCTTTGTGCATTGTGGATATTGACATTACTTGGCATAAGTCTCTTGAAAAGTGTACTCAGTTTGACTCAAAAGCTTAAACCCTAGTGAGTGGAACAGTCATTGGAACTTCAGCCAATTTGGTCAGCACCGAATTCAGTACAAAAACCATGAGGAAAACATGGAAACAGCATGTTACAGAAACATGTATACTGCGTGAGAACCCAATCTATTCTCATGTTATCATAATTCGGTTTGCATTTTGTGTTGTCATGGTTTCTGTAACATGTGATGACTTGAACCGGATTAGGTATAGTAGACATGCAAGTATGCAACGTGTACAAAAATATAGTCCCTCCGTTCCTAAATATTTGTCATACGGAGCAAAATGAGTGAATATACACTCTAAAATATGTCTATATACATCCGTATGTGGTTGAAATTTCTAAAAAGACAAATATTTAGGAACAGAGGGAGTAGTTGGCTAGCACGCCATGTTGTATTCAGCTTCTGCTCAGTTGAGTCCAGGTCCGTTTGCTACGTGGTAAGTTCGTGTACAAATATAGTACTACACACGAGGTACTAGTAATAAATTTACAGGTGAAACCAAACATCTGACATAGCGAATTTTTTTAGAGCAATATAATACCTGAAACTGTAAAACGTAACACGCCCAAGATGCAAAATGTTAGTACATGTATGAAGCAACCACACAATTTCAGAATATTATACGAGTTTGTCAATTGTTTGATCAAACAAAGGCGTCATTACAATGGCAGCTAAACTTTGCTCATGTTTTGAGTACATATGCTACTGTCCAACAAGAATTCACTCGGTCGAAAAAGAAACACAAAACCACGAGCAAAACACACAATTCCCAGCTCTGGTAATCGGAGTTCAGGAAAGAGTGTCCACTGTCAGGAACTCACGGCCATAGCGGAAACCAATCAGCTTCATTTACACCTTCTCCAGTGCTGCAGGACTGATTGGAATGATTCCAGAGGATGTGACCAGAGCATCAATAGGAACATCTGTTGAGTTAACCGGGATGATGCCTTCCTCCAGAATTTGCACCGAGTATGAAAGTGCAACTTCAAAAATAAGCAAACCATTAGCATGAATCGTTAGTAAAGAGAATGACAGATAGACCTCACCATCAAATATAACTATGTAATGCAGAACAACAGATGTGTTCTCATTTTGCTAGACATAGTTCATGGAAATATATAATGAAAAACGTTATATTAAATTAAGGTGAGTATGGAACTTCTAGTTGGCACACATACAAAAAAAACACCACTTGCTACATCAGCTGAATTGTGGCTTAAAACAGGGAGATAGGAGAACTGCCACTCGTTCAAACACGCATCAAATGTGTGTCAGCTGTATTAGTCCGCATCAAAATAGCACAACAGCTACGCAACCACCATATGTGGCTCACAGAGCAAAAGCACTGGACTAAGAAACATATTAAGATAGTCCGTTTCAGTATGGTAATGTATTAAATACAACATACTCCCTCCGTTCGGAAATAAGTGACGTTGTTTGTGAAACATGTTAGCTTTGAGAAACAAACAACGGCCCCAATACCTCTATCTACTCTATGGTCTCATTTTCTAAATTGTCCACTTTGGTCCTACTCCTACCCCCACAGAGTCTACTCAACATTTGATTTGATTTTATTTTCGAGGCAGAGGAACTGAAATGGCCCCAAGGAAAAATCTAGCGCAAACAAAAGTATATTTTACACAAATATAATATAATAAACTAAAATGCCACAACTTCCTGCGAAGTTGTGCCTGAAAAGTAAATAAAGTAAAAGAACTGAACTTCTGAAAATATGCATGCCATACCTAGAAGAGGCTGACTCCACCCTTTCTCTTTAGCAAGTTCTTGGTATCTCATCAAGAAAGTGTCATAGTACCTGTAAAATTGGGCAAACATGCAACATAAATTTAGATGAAGGGAAAAAATTCAATGAAGAAATCAAGTGAAACTCAGCATAAATAATACTCCCTCTATTTTTATATACAAGGCCACTATGAAAAACACATTTTGTATTTATACAAGGCCACCAACAATAATCGAGGCAAATATTAATGATGTCTCCTCGTACTAGTAACCCATGACTTAATTACAAGCATGCATGTAGTGGATGATAATGACACACTCACCTACTTCCTCTCCTATGGCCACTCAGTTTTCTCTAATGTGCATGCACCCTATTAATTAACCCGGTAAACCGGAAAATAAATTGGCTTGTAAAGCACACATTAATTTTTGTCTTGGTACTAGTAATTTGAGTTTGTGGCCTTGTATATAAAAATGGAGGGAGTATATGAAGTACCCAACAAATAAACAGAAGTATGCATGATGGAGTTATACAGAGCTAGAGAATACACAAAGAAAAGATCGATGCTAAATAAGGTTTGCACATAGAGTTTTACTCTTAACTAAAAAAGGAAGTAAGTCAAATATCCAATCCCATTAAACCCGGATTTTCTACAAGATTCATATTGATGTGCATTAGTTCTAAATCCACACACCACAGCCTGGGTGAAAACCATAAGCTTATAGATTTCAGATGGTCTACTGATTGATAAGCATTGATTTGTTTGCTAGGCCAAGAGCTTTTATGTGTGTTGATCACCCTAGCGAGGAGTTTCTGCATCCAACACATACATATGATTTTCTATGTGGTAACTGTCATTCCAACAAACAGGCTCCTCTGACACCAGAAATCGGAAGGCATTGAAATCTCAGCATTATTGAACTGCATTATGGAAAATATGCCTGTGAAACAAAATATAGAAATGACATCTAGTGCTTCTAAATCATGATATTATTTGTTTCAGAGCAGACTGCATGAATACGTTTTTAGCTGGCACTGAAAGTTTGAAATGGAACAATTTCATAGTCGGGCGTTGGATAAAGATGTCACTGCACATCGAGAACCTTTTTTTCTTGCGATAGATGTACATTGTCAACTTCAATACAAGGCACTATTGTTAATATCATGATAGGGTAACATGTAGTCCTACCCTCCACCACGTCCTAGTCTTCGGCCAGTTCTGTCAAAAGCTTGTCCTGCATGAATAACAAATATTATCCAATTGAATTTCTAATATCACAGACTGAGCAACCCCAAGAAAGATAAATGACAGAAATGAATGTAGCACAGGATGAAGAGCTTACCAGGCAACACAAAAAGATCGACAGGGGATGAGGCTGACAACACTGTAAGGATTAAAAGTGGCTCAGTTGTAACACATAAATCAACTGTCATTACAGATGAAATAGCTTAAATAAATAAAATAGGGTAAAGTTTCCACATGGAAATGAACTCCATACCATCTTCACAAGCATTCCCACTAGCATCCAATGGTGACGGTTCCAGAATGTTCATTGAATTTTTAACTAAATCATCCATGGTTGTGATTTTGAACATCCGCATATTGCGGTTTTTATCTTCCACTCGAGGAACATAGATATCCTTTGCTTGTCCATCATGTTCTTAAAACCAAAGAAATTGTTAGAGACAGGAAATTACAGAGAGCATATTTCTACATATACATAGGGCCCAGTTGGCTCACCAGGATCTGAGGATAGAACTTCTGCTATTATTTTTGATGTATCCACTTCTCGTAATTGCGCACAGCTTATATAGGCACACAACCGTTTGCTTGCTTTGAACCAAGAAGAGTTCAAAATATTGTTTTGAATAGCCAGATCTGGAAGAACAAGAGTTTTGTACTGTGTTAATAAATAGACCAACAAAATTAACTTAAAGAAAACTAACTATGCTGCAACACAGAAGCATACTACACTAGCCCTCATTTCACTTGAGGTCTCCAAAGATTTAAAAGATAAATCATCACAACATAAATCCCACTAGAACCTTTTACTTGCTGACCCTAACACTTGTCATCAGATCAATATACATCCCTAGGCACACGCTTTGATGCTAAGTACTCGAGAAATTGACCTGCGTTAAAAGTTTCACCACTCTTTTCTATCCCGCACTAACACTCTAGTAGGCAAATCGACGAGCAGCTTGTGGGCAACGCTGTTCCGAGCCAGGCGACAGGGGAGGAGTGACCTTCGCTGGTGCGCTGATCGGGGGAGAGGGCCTTGAGCGCCCTGCGCACGTCGGACCGCACCGCGCGCTTCTGATCCGCGACCGCCTGCTGCGCCGCCGTCGACATGGCGGCGAGGGGTGGCGAGGCCGACGCGGCCACTCGCAGCCGCGGGGGAGGGAGCGGGAGGAGGGGGCGGTAGGTGGGGGTGGGGGCGGCGCGGGGCAGGTGGAGGAGGCGCACCATCAGCGAGGACACTGCATTTTTTATCATCCCCGCCTCCTCGTGCCGTCGTGCCGCCGTGTCCCACGCTCACCTGCGCGGCCATCTCTCTGCCGCTGCCGCTGGATTCCACGGCCACGGGTGCGCGGGCGGAGCGGGCCGCCCACTGCAGGTTTTCTTAGGTGATTTGCTGTGCCGGCCCGGCCCAAGTTGTTTATTCTTCTGCACGGATGATGTTCAGTGGTCAGGAAAATCCTATTCGCGCCGCTCGCTGCGGCGAACTGTCGAGCAATCGCACAGAGCAGCGCAGCGAGCGACAGACATGGGCCGGCTCACTCATAGGTAGTGCGTCCAGCCGGTCTTGGGCACCTTCTAGAAGGTTCCCTGAACCGGGTTTTTTCCTGTATCGTTTTTTCTGGTTCTTTTTGGCTTCTATTGTTTTTATTTCTCTTTTTCTCTTTTTCCTTTTTTTTATTTCTTTTCCTTTTTTAGTTTCTGTTTCTTTTCTTTATGTTTTTTTCAAAATTTCACAACTTTGCAAAGTTTGTTCGCAAATTTAAGAAAAATGTTTGTATTTTTCAATTTTTTTGTGAGTTTCAATATATGTTTCAATTTAAAATTTTGTTCGCATTTTCCAAAAAATGTTCGTGTTTGAAATTTTTGTTCGTGAGTTTTGTAAAATGTTCCCGTTTCAAAAACTTGTTCACACATTTATGTTCAATGTTCAATATTTCAAAAAATTGTTTGGGATTTCGAATATTTTTTGTTCACATGTTCAAAAAAACTGCCATTCTTTTCAAAAAATGTACAAAATTTGTTCGGAGTTTCAACATTTGTTCGTCATTTTCAAAAAAAGTTCGCGTTTTCAAATTTTCATTTTTTTGGAATTTCACATTTTAATTCCCATTTTTCAAAAATTGTTCGTGCTTTCCAAAATAATGTTTCCGTTTTCAAAAAATGTTCACAGATTCAAAAAAAATCACGTTTTCAACTTTTTGTTCAGAAATTTTCTAAAATGCAAAAAATGTTCGCATTTCAAAAAGTGTTCAATAATTTCAAGAAATGTTTGCGGTTTAAATTTGTGTTGGATATTTCTTAAAATGTTCTACTTTTTAATTTTTGTTCTGAAATTCAAAAAATGTTCGTGGTTTCAGTTTTTAGCTTGTAATTTCACGAATTTTCCATTTTTTAAACATTTTAATCAAAATTTAAAAAATGTTCGTGCTTCAAAATTTTGTTTGGAATTTCATAATTTGTTCACAACTTACAAAAAAAATGATTTGCGTTTTTCAAAAACACTTTCTGCGATTTCAAAATTTTTGGGCATATGCAAAAAAATGTCTGGTTGTGCAGTTCCCAAAAAAAGTACATTTTGTTTTTAAGATGTTCGCTACAGTAACTAATTCCTGCTCGTATTAGTAGATTTGTTTGGTTGTACGGGGTCCTAAGTTATTTTAGATATGCAATGTTGTGCCACATGTAAGACGCTTGTCAGCTGGAGTGGCAAGGAGCACGCGGTCGCAATCGTATGGTCGCCTGTTCGATTCCTAGGATCATGCCTGGCTCAGTTTTTGCTTTCCCTTTTTTTCTCACGCGGTACAGATTGATGGGCCGGCCCAGTCAGGCTGCCTTCCTGTGCGTCGCGACACCAATTTGACGCAAAGAGCGTCCAGTAGGAGCTCCTGTCTTCTCAATCTCAAAAAAAAAGGATGATGCACAGTGGAGTCCGCTGTTCAATACCAGGCCCACCCGTTCAAGACACAGTTGTTACTATGAGATTTGGGCCCCAGCTATGTGTCGCCCGTACCAATTTCTAACAGGAATCGCCTACGAGCGATGACTAGTGGGCCAACTCACTTAGCAGGTTCCTCACTGTTGCTCCTGGCGGTCGTTTGTAGTCTGCATTTGTCCCTGACCGGTTGATCACTAACAATATTATTTCTTTTTATGAGTGTCTTCATTTTATGAATATGAAGATAAATAAAGCAAAGAAACATCGATTCTACACTCTAAGCTTGGACATGATGAAAACCTACGATGGTGTTGAGTGGTCGTACCTTCAAACTATCATGGAAAAGTTGGGCTTTACCCCTAGTGGATTTTTGTGGTGATGGGCATGGTCAGCTCGATATCTTTTGCAGTTTTGTTCAATGTCAAAAGAATTTAAGCCTTCGAGAAGGATTCATCAGGGAGATCGTCTTTCACCGTACCTTTTCTTGCTAGCAGCAGAGGGCCTTCCGTGCCTTCTAAAAGTTAGTGATCGGTCATCGCATCTTACAGGTTTAAAAGTAGCTCAATCAGTTTCATCGGTTAACCAACTATTGTTTGCAGATGACAACCTGTTATTTTGTCAAGCAAGCTAGGAAGGGGTGAGAGATGTGTCACACCTTTTGGAAACTTATTGTTGGGCTTTGGGGCGAAGTATTAATAGTGAGGAACGCTCAATTTTTCAGCAAAGGGCGCCCTCATGTCACTAAGGACTTGATTAAACCTGAGCTTAGTGTTTGCAATGAATCTCTTAGTGAAAAATACCTTGATATGCCCTTAGAAGTAGGCAGATAAAAAAAGGCACCTTCAAGTATTTAAAAGATCGCATCTGGAATAAGGTATATGGATGGTTGGAAAAACTTTAGTCATCTTGTGGGAAGAATGTTCTTATCAAATCCGTTTTTCTATTGACTCAATGTCCTACTTTTAGTTGCCTAGAGGACTTTGCGAACACATTAATTCTTTGATTAGAAAATTTTGGTGGGGTGCCAAGGAAGAAAAAAAGGAACAGTTACATTTGTGACCCTAACTCGAACCCACTACTCAAATTGACCCCTAGTTTTGAAGCATGCTCAAATTTGCCCCTCTTCCGTTGGTTGCACTTATATAAATGCCCTTCGATGCCGTTTTCGTCCAGTCAAAGTTGTTTGACCAGTATCTGGCCATTTATTTGACATTTTTGCCCTTACGTCCTTACAGGTGGGTCCAAATCAAATAGGAAATAGAAAAAAATAGGAAATATTACTGTAGCTTTTTGGGTCATGATGCAGTAGCAAGCAGGCCTAGTCCAGCCCAATGTAACACCCCGGATGTAATATACCTTATCTGTACTGCAACTCTTGCCGTTTTCGGCACTAAGTTATTTCATTTCGTCGTTGTTGGATTTTTGTCTCCGTGTGTTGTTGTCTTTATCATGCATCTCATATCATGTCATCATGTGCATTGCATTCGCATACGTGTTCGTCTCATGCATCCGAGCATTTTCCCCGTTGTTCATTTTGCATTCCGGCGCTCCTATGTCACCCGGTGCCCCTTTCTACCTATTTTCGTGTGTGGGGGTTAAAAATTTCCGGTTTGGACCGACAATTTCCATGCGGCCTTGGTTTACTACAGGTAGACCGCGTGTCAAGTTCCGTGCCATTTAGACTTCGTTTGATACTCCAACGGTTAACCGAGGAACCGAAAAGGCCTCGTGTGTGTTGCAGCCCAACACCTCTCCAAACTGGCCCAAAACCCACCTAAACCCTCTTCATCATCTAGAGCGTTCGATCACAATCGCGTGGCCGAAAACCGCACCTCATTTGGAGCTTCCTAACTCCTCCTACCTCTATAAATAGGTCCCCTCACAAAAATCCCGGGTCTCCTCTCCCCCTAACCAGAATTCTCCTCGCGCCGCACCGGACATGTCCGCCCGCGTCGGAAGCCTCTCCGCCGCCGCCCGCAGCCACTCGTAGGCTGCAACGTGTCACTCCGCCGGCGCTTCCCACCGCGGCCCGCCGAAGCCGGCGAGGGGCCCTCCCCGGCCCGAGCCGAGCGCCGCTCGCGCCCGCTTCCCCTTTCCCCGAACCGGCGATGCCCTCGCCGGACTTGCCTCGCGCCACCGCGTCCGCCATCGCCGACCACCGCGGCCTCCATCGCCACCTCACCGCCCCTGCCTCGCCGACGTCGCCGCGGCGTCGCGACACCCCATAGAGCCGCACCGCCGCTTCCCTCTCGCCGGATCTGCCGCCCCATCGCCGGACGGCTCTGCTCCGGTGACCACCGCACTCGCCGGCGACCTCGCGCGCCGTCAGCTACAGTGCCTCTCGCTGGATCTGAGATCGCCGCTACAGTAAACCCTAGTCGCGGTTGACTTTTTCCCTCTCCTCTCGTTATTTTTTTGCAATCTTCATCATGCCATAACTCTGCATTCATAACTCCGATTCGTGCGTGTAGCATATCAAAATGTTCATCTCGATGAGTACCATCATTTCATCTTATTGCATTATTTTCATTTGAGCTCATCTTGATGCCCGAAATGCTGTTGGAAGAGGGCTATGTGAGGAATATGTCAGATCTGTTTCAGCAATTAGCCTTTTGTCATTTTTGCCATAATTAATGTGTGCATGCTATGATCCTGAGCTCTACATGTGTTTTGTTAAATGCCATGCCATCTTTACAGGGGTGTATGCCATGTATTTTTGTGATATTTGTGATGACTAGAACAAGCTTGCAAAGTAGCGTAATCGTTGATGCTGATTTCAGGGACTTAGAATTTCACCAAGTCCTTGTCCTGATTTTGTTGTTATGCCATATGTTCATGTTGTTTCCTAGTGATCCGTGCCTCTTTTGAGGATGATCAGTAAGGAGGTTTTGTTAACATTGTGGTGCTTTATCCATCCATGTCTTTGTTTGCATTTATGGAGCACCCTAGCTTAAGTCAATCGAGCTCTACTTTTGCTATAAAATGATCCTGGCAGATTGTTGGCATGTTTAGCGATTTTGCCGAGGATGTCGTTGTTGATCCGTGCGTGCTATGATGTTGTTATTTCCATGTCTAGCTTCTATGCCATGTCTTCTTCATGGGTGTATGTTAGCTTGTCATGCCATGCTCTGTAGCGAGTGCATCGAGCTCGTAAACATGCCTACTCGTTAACTGTTTTTCACTAAGTCTGAATCTGTTTATGTTTTTTCCATGTTCACATGCTTGCAATTGTATTTTCTGATCCCTTTTGGCTCAAGGTCACTAAGAGACTTTTTGTTAAGTGCTTTGAGTAGCTTCATGCCATGCTTTGCCTTGCCAT